TATATATATACATATGACATAATTAACAAAATATTTGCTGATGTTATAAAATTGTTGAAAATTACGAAAATTTGTACATATATATTTCAAGTTCAATATCAAGGACTTGGCATTCATATTATTTTTTTTTTTTTATATTTTCTGATACGCCGTAACAGCTGCATAAAGTTATTTATTACCTTGCTACTAAGTTTTCATGATATAACATATATATATATATATATATATATATATATATATATATATATATATATATATATACTGTTGTTTAAATAAATATTATTATTCTAAACAAATGTTACTTTTGTTTCAGAATTTATGGAAATGATGACAGGAGAATAATCACGACTAATGGTGTCCGATATTTTTTTTTCACCTACTGTGAAAAATTTTTTTGTTTTCTTTTTCTTTACAAAAAAAAAAAAAAAATTAAATAAAAAATAAATTTAACAAAAAAAAACATAATAAATGTTAATATACATACATACACACACACATACAACTAAATGTTAGGATGAAGAGTATACGTGAAAAAAAGAAAAAAACACATAATCGTGTTAACATAATAATAATAATAATAATAAATAATAATAATAATAATAATAATAATAATAATAATAAATAATAATAATAATAATAATAATAAATAATAATAATAATAATAATAATAATAATAATAATATTTTAAATATAAAAAATGTCGAGAGGAATATATTCTATTGCTATTTATATTATTCGTGCATCATGCGTTAGACGCACATGCGTGAATGTTTTATTTGCAACAGATTTACATACATATTTGTGCGTTTTGATTACATTACTGACGTCATATGCCTGCTATATTTTCCATAAACAGTATTTATTGTTGTTAATAAAAACACATTGAGAGAAAATAATAATTTCGTATAATAATTCTTGTCTACGTTTCATATCTTTTATTCCTAAAATTAGAACAAAAAAAAACAAAAAGAAAAAGTGTAAATAAGGATTTTTAGTAATAGATGATAAATAATAGTACATCTTCTAAATCATTTTATTCTTTCAACACATTTTGATCTTTATTTTATATAATATCATATTATTATTATTAGAGCTGCATCACTTTAGTTGCAAATAGTTTTTTTTTTTTTTTGTCTTTTTTGCTTAATTTAAATTTGTCTAATAATAGTCGTGTAAACATAATGTAAATACTATTATACGGTTAATAAAAAAATATAGTTATACTAGCGATAGACTAGGAGATTCGATAACTTTAAGTGGCACAGTGAAGTATCCACGTAAACTTGTATTTTAAATTATCAAAGAATATAGCACGTAATTGGTAAGAAACGTGATGATAAATGTTCTATTATATATATATATATATATATAGTCTTCGACTAGATTATGCTTAACACGTAGATAATATATAACTATATTTAAAGACTATTTAAAGTTCGTCTTTTTTTGTTTTTTTTTTTTTGCTTTTCTTTATAATATTCATTAAATGTTCCAAAAATGCAACAAATTTTTAAATAAATCTTTGCAATAAAATTAATTAATTATTATTATAATATCTATTGAAAATGATTTCAACTTATATATTCAAATTTGAAAAAGGATAAATAGGACGATAATATATAGTCATGGTCCTCGTATTTGGAATGAGAAGAAATTTCTCTCAAATAACACTAAACGTATGTGATGTATATATATATACGTAGTATAGTTATGATAATTTTCTTCATTTTGGTAACATGTAATCACATATTTGCCACTATTAGCAGGTAACACTTTTTTTTCCTACTGTAGATATAGAACTAAGAAAAGATATTAAACTCGGCAACTATAGAATATCATCTTATCAAGATTATTTTGTTTCATATAGTGTGCATCTCGTTATTTATAGATATAGTGATATTTCTTTTTTCTTTTTAAGAGCAAAAAAAATATATAATATATATATATATATATATATATGTTTATATATTAGAAGGCGAGTTATAAAAAATAAGGAAGATATCTCACCAGAAAGTCGAGCATAAATTCTACTTTCATGTTTTGTGCTTCATACCAGAGTTTGTAGATCATCTTCCTCCAAGTCTTTATTATCGGAGGATGTAAGTAAGGGTCACATTTTAAATAAATGTGGAAATTCGTTGCTGATTTCACGTACCAATTGTTGATCCTCTTGACTCTCAGGTGTTTCCTCGCAAAATATCCTAAGTTTTTACAAAATAATAATCAAAATGATATTGTAATCACATTTGTGATATATATATATATATATATATATATATATATATATCTTCTTATTTACCTTGTAAAACATTTTAAAAGATCTTCCGATTGATGACGATGTTCATTATAACTTGAAGTACGTAATACTCTGCGACACAATTCTAAATATTGTCTTCGCTATAATATAACATTTTCATTGATTATTTAATATATAATTATTGTAATATGTACTTTACAATATAATCTTTACCTTATCACCAGGATACATATCAAAAAGTTGTCTTAAGATAATTTCAATCAAGACTTTTACATCGTTGGTATAAAAAAGACTTGCTGTATAATCGTTATTAAACAAATCGATAAACAATTTCAATACTGAATGAGGAGGCTGTGGTTCGTGATCAAATATTCTTACTGGATCCTCTGTAATATATTACAATATTACAAATTGTAATATATTACAATAATATTATTATAAATTAATATTCATATTTATTTCATTTATAAAACTTTAAAAAAAATACATTACCTTCTCTGTTAAAAAGGAATAGAATTTTTTCGGTAAATATTTTGGCTACAGTTCTCTCCTTTAATGCACTTATTACTGCATTTTCCGAATTAGTAAATTGAAGATTATATGATAATATTAAATTGACGAATAAATCAGGAATTTGATCTTCCAAATCAGAATCCGGTGGATTTTCTATTAAATCCAAAAGGAACGAGACAAAATCAGATCCTAGTTGTTCTGCAAACATTTTCATAATGAAATAATCATGAAATTAATATGCATGTTAAATGTTGTATTTCAACAGATGTAATGTACTACCTACTTTACTCACCCCAATGTGTAACTGGCATTGGTTCACCCATTGAAAATATCATACTAAGCAGCAATGAAGAATAATTTAATTTCTGTACATTTCTTGGATTACTCCTCATATCTCTAAACAAATTTAGAAAAGAAACTTTCTGGTTTTGCATATGTAATATTAAATTATGCAAAACTATGTTACCTTGCTAATTCCATTGGTAATATGCTGTTTAACATAATAGTTAAAATGACAGAATCTAAACTACACATTACACCAAACGATTGCAATAATAATTGTCTTATAGTCCATCTTGGTTCCATTTGATAATACTGAATTAAAACATTAACACCATCGTATTGATCTTGTTTTAAAATGTATCTTGAAACATTTGCATCTGCATTTGTCTACAATAAAAAAAAAATGATTACATATATATATATAAAAATACAATTATATTAATAAAAAAATATTTCAAGAAATTTGTTCTACAAAGATAATACCAATATGGATGTAAGTTCAGTGATGTTTTCTACTATAACAGATTCATCCTCGTAAAGCATCCAATTTCTTTGCTGAGAATCTTCTTTACGTGTAGTGAGTTCAGTAAAAATAATTTTCAGTCTACTAGCATCATATGTTTCTTCGATATTCATTTTTGATACAGTTAACGGTGTTTCTAATTGATGCAATAATGCTTCAAAATAATGATTAACACTATCAGGTAACAGATGTTGTAATTCTGACACAACAACGATGACCGCCACTTTAGACATTTCATAACTTAATTGAGTATTTCTACGAACTTTGTCGAGTAATTGATAAGCCGTTTTGGAATTGATATTACACAATGAATTACTTTTAACAGGTGAACCATTAGGAGACGTTCTTACAGTAGTATGAGAAGGACTCTTATGTACTTCTGGTGTTGTAGGATAAGCTTTTTGAATCGTCTCTGAACTAGACTGACGAGGAAAAGATTGTCTACGTTGTTCAGTTACTGACTGACGTCTACATTGAGTATTATATACTTCTCCTTGTTCAGAATTAGCATGTAGAGTAGTTTGTGCAGTTGCATAAGAAGTATTACTCTGTATAAGTCTGACATCTCCATCTGAATGAATACAGGTAGCAGGAGGAACAGTTTCTTTGGTTGGTGTAGTATTTCCAAAATCAGGAGCCAACGGTGCTTGTCTCTTATGACTCGGTCCACCTTGTTTTTTATTTAAAACTATTTGTTTTCTTCTCGCTAACAAATTACATAACAAATCCTGCTTATGCGTATCACCGCTTTTATTAATTTCTGATTGCAGTGTCAATATAGATCCATCCAAGAAGTCGATTAAAAATTGTGGCTGTACCTGATGATCAGCGGGTGATTAAAGAAGAATTGGTGAAAGTAGATTCGAGCATGACATGAGACATACCTTTTTGGTAGTGACATAATTGGATGGAATATATCCAACTTGAGCTTTACTATTCACTACTTGCCACCAATTTCTTTGCTTGGTATTTGTCTGATGTAATATGAAATGATCCCCTTCACGAAAGCTAAGAGTTTTGGCGAATGTAGCCTCAAAGTCGTACAATGCCTTAAGCATCTCATAATTTTCTAAATACGATTAAAATGAATAATATTAAAAAAAATGAAATCACATAAACAATTAAATAAATATATGTATATATATATATATAAGATAATTGAATATAAAGTAAAATATATAAATGAATTTGTAAACTCACCTAACCTCGCATTATTCTCCCCCATCGTTTTGGATAGTTAAATGCACAGCACACTTTCGCCAGGGACACACCCAAATAAAAACTAGACAGACAGGAAACTACTCGGCGCAGGCTACGAACATTTCACTTTCAATTCTGCTCGACATAATAGTTTTTCTTGCTCCTTTTCGTAGATACACACACAAGAATAAATGCATTCGAAGATTTCGAGAAAGGAGCCCCCTCTATAACTAACAACTTAAATCGAACTTTTTTTAACTGCACCAAAAATTGGTGCAAAGCATAAATATACGTACAATAAATATCGAGAGTATCGATCGAGATGCATCATATTTGTTAATTCGAAAACATGAGATCATAAAAAGTAAAAAATTTTTTATTAACAATGATTGTTCTATTACAATATAATAATATATTTATATTTATATATATATATAATGAGAGATTTGTTGTGCATGATGATTTAATACATTAAATGAACTAGGATAGGACTAGATGATAAGAAAAAAAGGGGGTCACGTAGAATCAAACATTCCAACTCCTAAAAGTAAATTCCTTCTAGAAAAATGTAAAGCTAAAACTGGAGAATTTTTTGTTGGAAATGTTCGCAATAAATAAGCTTCAGCATTGGTTTTTACATCAGGATTATGTGAAACGTTAACATCTTCCAAACTCATTTCTTCTGCCAACTTTGTAAAATCCCATAATATTATAGTACAATCTAACGAACCTATTATCAAATAAAAATACATTAATTTAATTAATTTAAAGAAGAAGAGGGGGGGGAGAAGATTATAAAAGTAATTTTGTTGAAAAAAATAATATCAACTTACCCGAAACTAATATATTTCCATCTCTACTGAAAGATAAACAGTGTATGGTACCTGTGTGGCTAGATAATGCAGCCACAAGATGACCATGTGCTAAATCCCATACCAGCACACGATAATCTGCACCAGCCGATGCTAAAAATCGTCCTTCGGCCGAAAAAGCAAGAGAATAAATTGAAGCTTTATGACCGGTCATTAATCTAACTTGACTACCGTTTACACAATCCCATAATCTCACGGTCATATCGCTGGAACCGGTTGCAATGTAATTTGAATTAGGATGAAATTGCACGACCTATAAAATCATTATTATTAATATTTTAAGAAAAAAAAAAAAAAAATGAAAAAGCTATATATAATTTCTATTTTGATTTAAATATAGAATATCATTACATCAACATCCGAATAATGTCCAGCAAATATTCTAAGAGGCTGGTGACAATCGGTTGCCCAAAGTCTAGCTGTTTTATCATTAGAGGCTGTTGCAAAATAATAACCATGAGGTGAAAATTTTGTACACCATACAGGAAATAAATGGCCTTTGTAACAAACTACGCATGTCCATGTATGAAGCGACCATAATCTCACTGTAATTCAATAAATACAATCTTTGTAGAATAATATAGTAATTGTAAGGGAAACATGTGAAAGATTTAATCATATTTTATACCTGTAGCATCTTCTGAACATGACAATAAAAGACTTCTATCTGGACTAAATGAGAGATTGTATATTGGTCCACTATGTCCATACAACGATCTTGTTATTTCTGCTGTTCTGTCATCCATCATTCTGACTAATACATCATCTATAACGCAAATGCAAAAAAAAAAGAACACCATGTATATATGTATCTAAATGAAAGATATAAATTTGAAAAATATTTCATTAAAATACCTGCTTCTCTATCAATATCTTGTAATTGTTCACCAGATTTCATAAGTCTTAATTTTTGTGGAACTAAACTCCATACTTTGATAATAGAATCACTGAATCCAACAGCTAATAAACTTGAATCTTCTGATATTTCAGCTGCTGTTACGCTATATAATTTATAACATATATATTTATTAATTATAAAATCATACTAATTTGTTTTACTAATGTTATTTTATACTTACGTATGTACAGTATTAAGTAACGTGTAAAAACAAATAGAAGGCAACGTGTCAGGACCAAGAACAACTCTTTTAGATGCTTCTCTCATTGCTTTAATTTTTTCCAATTTATCTACATCTTTTCTATAAAAAAAAAGAAAATAATAAAATTAGTAATATGATTTTAGAAAACAAATGTATCTAAACATATATAAATATTCAACTTACAAATTAGGTAATGGCATTCTACCTACAGATGGTGCATTAGGATCTGATTTGGTTTTCTTTGAAAATAGTGGATCTTTTTTAGCTTTTTTCTTCTTTGGTTTGTCTCCATCTGCACCAACTACATCATCCTCCTCTTCTTCGGCTGGTGGAACACATTGAATATCTGGTTCCTTTAAGAGACCATAATAAACTTTCGTTTTATTATCTGTAAAGAATATAACTCATAAATATGACTGTGTTAAAAAAACTTATTAATGATAATTAATTTTTATAAAAGAGTTACAATACCTTGCCTTGTCGCTTCACCAACAACTGCACCTGAAGTAGCTTCAATTTGTTGTTTATTACGAGCAACACCTTCATACATATCAAAATACAAATGCTCTTGTATAATATTCAACAATACACTGTGCTTTTTTTCTTGCAAATGTCGTTTTAATATCGATAAAGTATCTCTTGACATTCTTATAATAAATTGATTAGATCTATAAAAATATATGAAAGAATTATTTTTTTTTTATTTTAATGTTAATATATAATATGTCGCTATGTAATTAAAGTACTTACTTAAATGTATCAGTCAATTCATTGCCTGCCATTTGTTCCCGCTTAGTAACATTTGAAAGTCTTTTTAAATCAGCTTGATAATATTCTTCTAAATTTCCTCCAAATTTTTCTATTAATTGTTTTGCTTCTTCTGAATGATTATTATATACTAGTTCTAAATACATATGTACCAATACTGGATACAATATCGTACCCAATTCGTGCTAAACATTGATGATCAAAAATGAATATTTATGAAAGAAAATATCAACATTTATACAATTTTTTTTGATATATTATCTTACCTTGTATATATCTAAAGAACTTTCCACAAATTTCTTTAATTCACTATATGCTTTTTCATATAAAGCAGGATCACCCTCACTTTTATAAGCTGATAGTACATTGCTTACTTCTGAATCAGTTTGTTCAGTTTCATCTGTAGTTACATCTGTTAAATTTGCTTCTTTTCTAAATAATTCTTCGGTTCCCTAAATAAGAAAATCACAGAAATATATCCAAACGTCAATTTTATCATGAATGTTTACACAGAGATTGAGGTTATATATTTACTCATTCATATAAATTATTAATTTACCTTCAAGTTATATTTTTTCAGAAATTGCAGGATTGCAAGCATAGTATTCTTTTCGTTTTCCATATTTGTTTGAATTATTTAATATGTCTTCATTAATAAAAATAAACAATTATCACAGACAATTAAAATAACTAATTTCAACTCAAATATAGCAATAAACACATAAGCACAAGAAAGTGACTAATGATAGGTTTCAAACGTGAACCATAACGCCACCTATGAAAGAAGAAATTTCAATGAACTATATCGATAAAGAAAAATCTCGCGTGAATGGTCTACATTATCGATTAGTTACTAGCGCGCCAATTTCGATATTTTCAAATCTTTTGATTTTTATTAAATACACTTTACTTACATTACAGGCAAATTTCACTCTCGAAGTCATCACTGCGCATGAGCAGTAAAATAATTACATTAAAATGAAAAAAAAAAAAAAACTAAAATTTTAACGTTATAATCTTAAATTCTATTAATTAGATTATTACCATTCCACACATGCGCGACATTTGAAAAGTCATATCAACAACATTGAATAAAAGTATGTTCGTAGAGGACAATGACTCAGTTTGAAGGGGAATTTTGAGGAGGACAATACTCCGATCATATATTCTCAGCTTTAAGATAACAATAGACACTTTTATCGATTAATTAACACTATGTTGTCCAGTTATTTAAAAAACGTTTGGTTTAATATTAGTATTAGTTAACAATTAATGAATTTTTTCAGAAATACCCTACGAACTTTTTAGAAATACCCTTCGAACTAATTAAACTAATTAGTATTATTATTATCTAATATTATTTTAACCCTTAACGAACGAGCGTAATTAGATATACAATTAAGTTGTCGCGAGTATTGCGGCATTCGTTAGTTAAGGGTTAATAGAATATAGACTAATGCACATGTGTTAGTGCATTTTTATTTATTTACAAGTAAAAAATCTTTGCGAATTTTTTAAAAATAATTTCACTTGTAAAAATAGTTTACTCTATAATAATACTATTATTACTACTGTTAATAACAATAATAATAATATTAATAAATATGTGTGTATGTGATAAAAATATTAATATACGTAGGTTGGTTGGAAAGTTTTGAATCTATATAATTTAAAAAACAATTACGCATACAAGGATATATTTTTTTTATTTTTTTTTGAATAAAAATACAATTGTAAGTTTATGCAGGAACTCTGTTAGGATGAATTTTTTGTTCTTTTTTATTTTTACGCCATAAGTTTAAGGCTTTGTTAAAAAATGGTGGGGAGGGAAGAAGGGTTTAATGCACTGTTCCAGCCGTGACAACCGAACGGTATGCAGATACCAAGTTGGGGGTAAATCTGGAAGCCGTACCGTACAGAGACTGTAGTGATCGTAGTCACTCCGAACAGTCAACGACATTCTGATACGACCAACGTAACGGAGAACAGTTCAAAGTAAGTGATTTTACAGTATATAAAAGTATATAAATTAAAAAAGAAATTATTTCTGTTCTTTTTACCATTATATTGTTTTTTAAACAAATTTCCAATAGTTTTTATTAATTGTGAATAAATGAAATAAATGAATTAATAAGATAATTGAAGATTGTTATTACGAAATTGCAAATTATATTTTATTCTTAGCTACTAAAGTTGAATAAAAATGTTATTATTATTAATATATATTCTTTCATTAAATATATCTAATAAATGTAATTTAAATTATCATAGAAAATATATTTTTATATTAAACAATTGTAAAGAAAATGATTAAATTTGTTAATGCATTCAAATTTGATTTGTATCATAAGTAAATATATAATTTATATTTTAATTATTAATAATTTAATTATTTAATTTAATATTAAATAATTATATAATAAAAATTTAATTTATATTTCATTAATATATAAATGATTAATATTAATGTTAATAATTTAATTTCACATTTAATTAAATTATTTAATTATTTAATTACACAATAATTAAATAATTTATTATTAATATTAATAATTAATATTCAATGATAACAAATGTAATTAATAATATTATATTATTGTTATATCGTTGCATAATTTGTAAACATTGGTACATTTTTTATAAATAGAACCTTTTTATATTTAACACTTAACAATGTATTTAATTTTAAATAGATTTTGTTGTTGTTTTTTTTTTTTTTTATTTGATTTGAATACATTTTAAATGGATAGAAATGAATTGAATAAATCTCGTTAAATCTAGTGATATGCAAAATTTGTTAAATTCTTTTTATAATTTCATGAATCGATGATAAGTGACTTGAGTTCTTCGTGTGATGTTCATCGTTGTCGTCGTCGTGATAATTAAGAACAGTAAAAGAGTAAAACGCAGAATGAAACGTTCTTATGGGCCGACGTAACTGTAAATTTTGCAGGCGTAACCTTGTTGCCGGTGGTTACACTGTTATAAACTCGACGAAGATTTGTTCCGCTATGTGTCCATATCTTTTTTTTTTTTGCCCTGGTCGTGTCATTTGCCTTTTTATTTTAATGCGAATGCGTGTAGTTACTTTCTTTTTTTATTTTTTTTCTATTTTTTTTTTTTTTTTATTATAATCATAGTTGCAAAGCACATAATTTTTTTTTTAGATAAATCCGAGTTTGGAAAATATTACATAATTAAATATTAATTTTTGCAAATTATTTTAATACAAAATGTTTAATTTTATCTTGTTTTGTTCATTACACGTAAATTTGCATTACAAAAAATTAGATCAATCATTTAAAAATTATTTTCAATTAATTTAATTTAAGTAAACAACTCTTCCCAACCTTTTTATAAATTTAAGTCATCTTTCTTAATATCTTTTTTTTTTATAAAAAAAAAAAAAAAACATAATGGCGAACAAATCAAAAAATTTGATTGAACGTCTTAAAAACAATGAAATTGTGATTGAATTGTATTAATTTTCTCGAATAATTCTCAACGTCTGTATTTTGGTAGCTCAGTTTGAGAAATCGTAGCATAAGTGTTCTTCAATGTGAGATGGGTCTTCCGCAAAATAAACGTACAGGGGTGGGAGGAGAGTGAACATAATCGAACAATCGAGCGAATCGTAGCAACAAATCCGGCCGGAACTCGGTGTATAATGCCGCGGAAACGAGCGGGAAATTATATTTGTTATGGAGAATCGAGAATTCGATGCGAGTTGTCGAGTACAGCGGTTCTACGGACCCTGAGAACGATCTCATCCGAGCGCATCGGAAAGACCGGACGGAACTTTTGTTTAAAATGTATATGTCCCCACGTCTGTTGATTTCAATTTGTCCATGGTACGCTATTATTTCAAAGACCGTATTTTATTATATTATTTTTGTAATCAATTCACACACACATACACACACACACACATACATCTCGATCATTGATACTTTTCTTTCCAAATTTTTATACACTACATTTTGCTTTCATCTATCTTCTATCTTCTTCTTTCTTCTTTCTTCTTAATATATATAAATTACGTGTCACGTTGTTTGTTCGCAAAGGACTCTTAAACTACTGAACCGATTTTAATCAAATTTTACACACTATATGCAGTTTCATCCAACTTGAAAGATAGAACAGTTTATATCTCAATTTATAATCGCAATATTATTTTATTGCGAATTATTTGTTTAATTACAAGGAATCATGATTATCTCTGTTAGTTCGTTAAGATTCTAACAGACGGCGGTACAAGGTAATTCGTTGATTTAAAGACGTGTGTATCAAACTGATTGTAAGCCACAGCAACTTGTGGTGGGGCACCCTTAGTTTTATATAAGTAATACAATTTTAATTATTAATTATATTATAATGACGTGTTATAAAAAAAATGATCTTTTTATTATATTATTTTTATTCACACACACAAATACATTTCGGTCATTGACACTTTTCTTTCCAAATTTTTATACATTACATTTATCTTTCATCTATTTTATATAAATTTTAATTATTAATTATTAATTATATTATAATAACGTGTTATTAAAAAAAAAAAAAAAATTATAATAAAATGGATAATAATAAAAATGAAATACAGACCGAGACGTCGCGTTATTTCTGAACGGTAGCATGCTCATAGTAAGTATAATAATTAGTTACGAATTGTAATTAGTTCAAGCAGGGGATATTACATTTTGACTGGCATGTAAATGATCAAAGAAAAAACCGTGACATTCGTTTCGGTATGAACAAAAGAATGAAACGAATGAGCATTGATCTTCTTTATATATATATATATTTTTTTTTCATGGTTACATAAAATTAATTACTACATTGTTTTTCATGAAATTTAATTTTATAAATTATAATTAATATTAACACTTTCCATACCAAGCCTTTTTCTACCTGACTTGTTGTTCAGGCCATTTGATTTTCAATTCATTAAATAAATATGTCTGAATGTACCATTTACGGTACACATGGCCTGATGATCAAGTTTAACGTGTGTAAAATTGTTTTCTTTTTAATTGAAACTGTATGATTAATCCCAATTTGTTTCTTTTCTTTATTTTTAGGTAAATCAAGGATGAATATCTTAGGATCATGTATAAACCTTTTAATCTTTCATCTCATATCGATCGAGGCAATCGGTGTTGGCCAAGCATGGCGTGTATCGCCATATTCAAAGACCGATTATTCATTGGAACATCCATCTTGGCCTCGATTGGATTCATCAGCTTTCGAAGTACGCACTGTCAGTGGTGTAGGTCGTTTTGTACCTTTCAATGATTTACGAAACTTTCATAATGATCAAATAATTGAAAAAATTGACAACATTGAACCAAATTCATTGATAGAACAAGAAAATATCGAACGTGATTCCAGAGAAATGTCACAGTTTGAAGACATTGTAACAAAGAAAAGTAAAAATGTTAGAAAAGATTTATCGTTCGATCAAAAGATGACAGAAGACACTGTTACCACCTATCCTCAAAAAATATTTCGTACAAAAGTTTCCATGAGAGTATTTCCGATCGATAATTGGGATAAATCATTAAATATCAATGAAAAATTAGATAAAATTAAAGAAACGAATAATCATCGTGTAAGACGTGAAACAGAAAATGATACCAACATGGAAAGAATAGGTACAATGTTGACCCTACGTGAGGCAAGATTAGCTTCACCGGAAACTTGGTCGAAACAACCGTTGTCTGTTGAATTTCGTCATCGTTCGAACTTCGAGCAACCATCATCAATTCGTGATTCAAACAATGACGAGGATGATACATCGATCGGTATAAGAAATTATCAAAGTCCACGAGCCGATTTTGTAACGAGTCATTATCATCGTCGTGTTTATCCGGACAATCGGGAATCACGTGATACGTTTGTATCTAAAACCTTCGATGATATTGATCTACCATGGTACAGAAATATGATCAGAGAAAGGGATTATGATTTACCATCAATACCGCGTCGTAGTTATTCCGAATATTATCGAAATTATCCTGAAAGAAATTATAGAATGGAAAGGGATTATTACATGCGTATACCAAACAACGAACATTCTTATTATTACGATCGTTACAGGGACGAGGATCTTGATCTTTATGGTAGAAGCAGACCAACACCTAAACCTAAACGAATAATTTATTATGCAACATTACCGGAAATCGTAAGGAAGCCTGTTGATCTTAGAAATTATCCTAAAACACCATACGACGGTGGTTTAACCAGGACAACTGTAACACGTGGTGGAACTTTTGAACGTGTACCCGGTAATGTTGATCCTAGCAGGTATCGTTATCGACATCTCTACGATGGCTATGATTCTTATTCTAAAAGATCGAGCTTTTACGATCGTCCTTACGTTGGATACAGGGACGACGAGGATCGTAGAAAAGGATCAATCAAGGAGAACTTAAATGATCATGATTCTGGATTCGAGGCTAGTAATGACAGGAATGTGGTCAATCAAATTCAAAATAGAGACGATGGGAATAAATTACCATGGCCTGTACAAATTGGTACCGAAGTTAGTGTCAAGGACGATGACAGGATTCATGGGAGAAAGATTTTTGGCGATACGATAGGTTTCGAAAGATTGCAAAATTCACCGGAACATACTTCGACCAATGAAACTACTGAAAAAAATATTAATTAGAAATTTTTAGTTTTTCTTTTTTTTAGCTCACTTAAATTGTGAAATGATATCACTTCTTTTTATTTTTTTTATTTTTTTAATTTTTAGTTTATAAATATTATTCTATAATTTAGTTAAAACATTTGTGTAATAAACGAATACAATGGAATCTTCATTATTCGAATATTTATGATTTATATTTTTATTTGAATTATTTATAAATGTTTAATTTGTGTTTAGTTTGAAATCTTATTTTTTTTTAAATAAATTTGTTTGTTTTATTATTTTATTTGAATAATGGAGGTTTTATTATGTTCACGTTGAGAATCGGTGAGAGTAGTTGATTTTTGGGAATGAAAAGGTTTATTGGTTAATGGGTTCTCGGTAATGGTGATTGGGATTGGTCGAAAGATTACTTTTTTATCTTATGGAAAAAAAAAATAGTATATTTGTTTTTTTGTCTTAAGTTGTATCAACGAAAGTACGAGGTCGAATTAAACTTCGTTCATGTTGACGTATGAATTTTGTCGAGGGTTGTTTTGAATAAAAATTTAGCCAAACCATCTGAAAAACTGTTCTTCGATGTGATCTTGTTCAAATCTGCTAACCAAGTATTGATCTGTACGTGTGTTATAAAAAAAAAAAAAAAAAAAGCATTGAATTATTTTGTTATCAATATATTTGTTTTTATGTTTTATTACCGTGTTGGGTTTGCCATTCATAAATTTGGCCAATTCTTCGGGTGTCATGTTCAAAATATTGCATGCAGTTTCACGTGCTTCTCTCTCGCATGGTTCACTTTCATCAAAATTTATTTTATCACCCTCTTGTTCATCCCAATGATCGTGAATTTTTTGTAAAAATTCCTAAACATCAAACGTTCACAAAATTCATATGTGTAATTAATTAAAAAGAATTCAGTTTAATAATAAAAAAAAAAAACAAAAAAAATGTTTACTTTAATGGCTTTCGAATATTCGTAATTTTTATTCTCAAATGCAATTAATTTATCTTTCAAAATTTGAATAGCATCTTCGCATTTGATTTTAATAGAATTAATTTCATCCTGCATCGATTCCTCGTACTTTCGATTTATTTCACATTCGATCTGTCATAAATAATAAACAATTTATAAGATATTTAATTATATATACATATATGTGTATATATATATATATAGATGTATGTAGTTGTACATTTTTTTGTTTTTATAAACAATATCAAAGAAAAATATTTTCAATCGAAGAGTGTGAGGGTCTTGTTGATTATTTTTTTTACCTGTTGTTTTAAATCTGTCTGAGATTTTTCCACTTTGCAAGTAAGATTTTCCTTTTCCTCGTTTATTAAAGAAATCTATGCGCATGCAATCATTTATTATTTAAGTTTTAAAAGTTATTTATGAGATGGTACACACGCGTATAAGAATTATTTATATACTTTGGCTTTGAGTTGAGCGTTGGTGGTTCTAAGTGTAGTCAATTCGTTTTCCAATTCTTTGATCTTAAACGTAAATAGATCTTTTTCTTTGGTAAGTTCTGATAGTTGACCTTTGTAACTGTTCAGTAGAAATCCTTTATTGGCATTTGCTGATTCTGATCTTAATAATCTATTAATTATTGTTTTATTAATTATATATAATAATTGGTATTTTATTCAAGATATATTTTAATATATATATTTTAACCCTTAACGTTTTAAGTGTGCCTCTCAGGCACCATCGGTTTTCGGCAAATATATCGTTGGGTCGTTATTGGTTATTATTACGAATCAAAGATTATACTCTTTAATCATTAACAAGTGTCACTGTAGTATTTAAAATAAAAATTAACACGTCATTTTGTAGTATTTTAAATTTGACAATTAATATTTTGTAAGTCAAGGTATGATAGTTAATTAAAATTCGGAGCGTTAAGGGTTAATATATATATTGAATAAAATTAAATTTAATATTATATTTAATATTAATATTAATATTAATAATAATAATATTAAAAAATTTAATATTAAATAAAATTAAATTTAAATATTTTAAAATATATATTTTAATATAAATTGAGTAGAATATTAATTACAATATATATATATATATTATAATTAATTTAATTTATTAATTATATATATATAAATTAAATTAAAGATAATGAATAAATAATAATTATAATAAAATAAATATATATTAAAATATATATTTTAAAATTTAATTGAATATTATTTGTTAAAAAAACATCATATAAAAATTAACTTGTTATGTAATTGTTTGATAGTTGCACAATCCTCTTCAGATTTCTTTTTCAATTTAGCCAATTCTCTATATTTCGGTAATTCTCGAATTTGTGTAACACTGATCCTTTCATTTTGTTCTTTACCAATTTTCATTTCCATCCATTCCTTCATATCCTCAAATTTTTTACGAAGAGACGTGTTTTCTGCAATGAGATCGTTTAAATTTGTTTCGGTTGTTTCCATTTCTTCTTTTAAATGTGTAAAACAATTGTTTATCTTTTCATATTCGTTTGATTTATCTTTCAATTGTTTTTGCGTTTTTGATAATTCATTTTTTAATTTTTTCGAAGTAGTTTTAGCATCACGTAACTACAAATAATTCGAGTTTATTTATGTAAAATAAATTATTGACGATAAATATTTCCTTTTACCTTTTTGTATAATCTTTTAGATAATTTTCCAAAATATCTCGACGATTTATGATTATTATTTCGTTGAGATTTATTTGTTTTGTTATTTGACAATGCACATGATCCAAATTTTTCTATAACCGTGGTACAAATTTGTACGATTTTTTGTTGCAACGCTTCATTCTCTTTCGAAGCTTCCATTTGTACATTTTCTACGATTCTAAATATTGTTTTTATTATTAATTAATATTTATAACTTTTGACTAAATATTAATATAACAAAAAAAAAAAAAAAAAAAAGAAGGAAAAAAACGAGATAAACCTTTTATATTTCTCTTTAATAAAACTTTTCTTTCTTATCGCTTCTTCGAGTTCTATTTTAGTTTCGGAAAGTTTGTTCTCCAACTTGGTAATAATATTTTCATATCTGATAGAATAATTTTTTATTTTTTATTCGTAAAATAAATTCTTTTTTTTTTTTTTTCATTTGAAAGATAATTTTCTAATTTTATGTTCTTTTTATTTTCAAAAAGTATACAAAAATATTTGAATATTCGTGGTGAAACTTACTCAATTTCTTTGTTGATCGGTTCTAAGCTTTTTTCCCATTCCTTTCTAATTAATTAATAAATTTCATTGTAATAAAAGAAAAATAATAAATTAGAATTTAATTTGAATTTGAAAATGTAATCATATAGTTAAAAGAAATTTGATCATAATATAGGTTAGGATTATTATTATTATTTGTTTTTTACATACTCTTTGCGTACCTCATCCCCTCTACTAAGGGCTTCTTCGATCAACCATTGTGGTGCAGGTTCTTCAACGATATTCATACATTTTTTGTATTCACTATGAAATAACGAAGGTGTAGAACGACTCAGATAATTATTTTCATCCTTGTATACATTTTTATCTTTATCCTCGTTACAAATTTCATTAGTTTGTGTGAAATTGTTCTTCGTTTCAACATTGTTTTTCTTAACTGACAAAATAATGTTATTATTAAGTAAAGAACAAGTTCTTTTTTTTTTTTTTTTTAACAAATAATAAGTTTTTTTTGTTTCAATTCAATATTTCATATTAAAAATAATATACAATTCGTAATTCCCGCTATTGCAGATTACGACGTTACCTACTAAGCTTTACTCGAATATTACTGTCAACTACCTCCACCTACAGCACCAATTATGTACTAACGATACATAGGTTATCGATAAAAAGGTTAAGTATTTTTAAAAAATAATAATAATTTTGATATAAACAAAAGACACGACAAATATATTTTTGTATTTTATATTCATGAATCAAAAATTGTTGATGAATAAAAAAAAGAAAAACAAAAAATATCAAAAGGAGGCATAGAAGGCATAGATATAATTAATGATAGATAAGATAAGAAACTCAGAGAGAAAAAAAGAGTCTGCATGTGTGAGTGAGAGAGAGAGAAGGGAAACAAATTATAAAATGATAACCCAAAAAAAGAATTGGGGGGGGGAGGAGGAGGGGTTCTTTGAGGAAGGAAAGAATTCGTCCGTTAATTAACTTTAGTCGTGTCGACGTAAAGAGGTTCCGATAATTTATCGCGAAACGATAAATTCGTGGATTCGATCTGACGGGAATGGGAACGGGGTAAGGTAAAAACTTTTGTGAAGGAGGAGGTCGATGATATTATTGGATATTATCGGGCCATATGGAATTTGGGCCTGAAAATGATCCCCCGTGCAGGAAATTGCTAACGACTTAAACGTTTGGGCGTTGCAAACGGGGACCCTAAGTTTCGAGGACCCAGTTATGATGGATGGACTTTGACTAGTCTGTAATTTGAAGGCGTTATATGTGTACCTCTAACACGTTGTTCGAAACAACCAATCCCCTCCATATGTCTCTTTCGCGTTCTATCTTATTATTTATTCTTATTTTATTTTATTTTTTTTTTTTAAATAGGAGAAAGTAACTTTATAACTAAGATTCTCGTATAAAGAAAAAATTGATTAGATCAATGGGAAAAAAAGAAAAAAAAATTGTTATTATTGTAACGAGAAATTTGGGGATGTTAAAGTAAAATCAAACATTTCATTTTTTTTTATTTTTTTATTTTTTTTTTTTTTAATGTCATTTTTATCTCGTTTCTTATTAGATTCAATAAAATGAATAATAAATCAATGAATGATATAACGAAGCTAACATTGCAAGGATGTTTCGTTAAATGTAACGTGTATTTTACTCGTGGAAACTTAATATCAGCTTTTTTTTATGTATTTTTTTTTTTCGTTTTAAATATATATACACACACACATTCACACACACATATATATATATCCTATTCTTTGAAATCAATCGTGACTACAATCGGAGTTATCGAATAACTCAGCGCTCGCGTTCCATTATTTTGCATTAATTAATACTTGTTAGCACGGACTCACGTAATAT